AACTGGACAGAAAGGCTGTCCTGCTGAGAGGAGATGCTTCTGCAATCCCCACTGGGCCACTTAACCCTCTGGGAGCTGTATTACAATGGGACTGTAAGGCAGCTACTTAACACTCCCTAGTGTTTTGCCCAGCCTAGATTAGAGCAGTATAAAGGCAGGCTGCTCTAACTCTCACACATTGGCCTTGATCTTCATTGGACCAGCTGCCAGCAAGCAATAGCTCTGGATCCCATTGCATTATGGCTATTTTTCCTCTTTACCCTTACCATGTCTCTTTGCATGCCTCTTCTACCAGCGTCTATGGAGATGAAATGTAGGAGCTGTCTATTCTGGCTCTCTCCTCTGGAAATTCCTTCCACACCTAGACAGTCCTTCCAGATGGGGTTATTATAGGAGGGCCTCAGTCCCTCCTGAGACATCTGAATGCATAAAGGGAACACAGTGAGCAAGAGAATCTGGCCTTCTGAGTTTGTGAAAGAGAATCTAGCCTCTCCCATACCCTCTGTCACGGGTAAAGAGCAAACTTTACCTTTGGGCATTTTTCAATCCCTCTCATGTTTACCAGTGGAGTGACAGGCCTGGCTCCCTGCACTTCCCTTTGAGTGGGAGCCATACAATCCAACTAACCCCTCACTGGATCTCTGAGCTATATCCCTTCTCATTTCAAGCTACGTTAACCACACAGTCCCAAATGGGTTTTGTCACCTCTGAGAGTGTCTTTTCAGGATCCTGTTGCTACATTTATTTGTAGGAGCACACAAACAGCATCCTCAAAATAAAGTAAAGAGCCAGGCCATATGCCTGGGCATTACTTTTGCAAGACCCAATCAGCTAAGGTAATACCTTCTCTGGCAGGTAGAAAGAGCCTGTCCTGCTTATAGTTTCAGTCTGTTTGTGTCAGTCTAACAGCTTTTTGCTGTCACCATCGGATATCTCTATTAACTCACCCAAACCCCATCCTCTCCTTTTTCTAGAATCTTTGAGGCCATTGATCCCCTTTGATTCCAGGATCTAGCTTTGGGGAAGAGAAAACAGTCCCATCCTGGATGGTGTCCAACAGACAATTTCTTCATCGGTGGCAGTCCACACTTTGTTTTCTCAATGAACCTCATCTTTAATGCTTTGTTTCTTGTGGGTTCCCCTTTGGTTTAACTCTAGCTCTCCAGCAGGTCAGTAGTAAACTGATAACTTCAGGGCAATGTGGCCTTGAGCATCCTGATCACACCCTACGCACTATTGTAATCAGCCTGGAAAATATCTTCTTTGTGAGACATCATTTAAAGCTAATACACTGATAAATAGTGTCCTTGTGTGATGTAGGTATGTGGTGTGTACTGAGAGTTATGGCTATATGGTGAGATTATGACTAAAGTTTGTTTAAGCCATGTATGTTAGGGATGGTTGGTAAGCAGGTCATAAGTCCTTTTGGTCAGCCTGTGAGACTCGCAATGTTTTTAGGACCTGCCTTAGGTAGGACCATGACTCTCTGTCAGGTTTGTTTCTGGTGTCTTATGAGAGAATCAGAAGCAGACAAATACTTTCTGAAAAATGGGCCTGCAGAGACTGTGAGACTCTAGAATGATTATCAACTGACTGAGGTAGCAGCCTACCAGCTTTTATGCAATCAGCAGGGAATGCTCTGAAGTCACAGGCTGAATGTAGGACCTCTGGTAAGTAGATGGGCCAGTCATGCATGATGGACTTGGATATGCTTTGCACTTGATGAGACTGACAGGTTATTCAAAATGATGCTTCTATCATCCCAGACCTCTGTAAAATTTGAATGACCAAGTGGCGCATCCAATCTATGTTTACTGTTTTTTTTCTTGTTAATGATTCAAGTTGTTTATGGTCTGTAAGAAGCTTGAAATTATAGAAGATCCCACAAATATGTGGTGACCTCTAGAGCCAGATTTATGGAGAGAATATTGTAAGTATTTAACTATTTCAGCAGGTCTCTTTTATTCCAATGTTACTTATATCTTAATCCAGCGGTTCCCAACCACTGGGCTGCAGACTGGCACCAGGTCATGAACCACTGGCTGCCTGGCCGCGGTGGCTCTGGGAGCTAGGACTCAGGTACACTGCTCAGCACATTCCTTTCCACTGTGGCTGGTGGGAGAGGCAGGCCCTGCCACTACTCTCAGCCAACCAGTGTTGGGTAGGGGCGGGGTCTCCTCCCAGCCGGGGAAGCATGGTTCATTGCACGGCGAGAAGACCACACGGAGCCCAGCGTGCCACCCCCTGCCACTACTCTCAGCCAACCAGTGTTGGGTAGGGGCGGGGTCTCCTCCCAGCCGGGGAAGCATGGTTCATTGCACGGCGAGAAGACCACACGGAGCCCAGCGTGGCAGCTGTAGAGTTTCTTGCAACTTGGGCAGCAGCACTCAGCTGGCAGTTGGGAAGCAGTGCAAGGCCAGGCAGGCACTGGATGTCCTGGAGGTGGGGCTAGTGCTGGGAGGCTCTGGGGATGAGGAGCTGTAAGAATCGGGGGGCTGTCACTCGGGGGATCTGGGGGCAAAGCTAACACTGCGGGGCTCGGGGATGGAGCTAGCTCTAAGGAGTGTGGGGCTCTAAGAGGCAAAGGGCTGACACTGGACGGGGTTGTGTGCAAGGGACTCTGGGATTAGTGGCTGGCACTGGGGGGTCGTAGAGAGTCCTGGGGTTAGGGCTGGCAGTTGGGGACTCTGGGGGTCTGGTCTTTTTATACCATGGACCTGCAATCCTATTCACAAACTTTTGGCGGACAGATAATGTTTTATTTTCATATTTGACTGTTCATTATTTGCATAATGAATATGCAAATATGCAAATAAAATATCACTAGTTTGCCGAAAGTTTGTGAATGGGCTTGCCAGTCTGCGGTATAAACAAGGTTGGGAACCACTGTCTTAGTCAATGCAAAACTACTTTGGCTTCTCAGCATCTAAAGGTTGAAGTGCCAAGGTTTAAGCACTTCAACTTCTAGATGCAAAAAAGACATTTTGATAAGATGAAATGGACAGCATTGACTACACTGGGAATAGACCCACACCTGGTGGAATTGGTGAAAGCTCTTTTATTGCTATTCACAGAAGTCAGTGTGAATGAATGAGTAGGTCTAAAACTCTTGCACTCTTTTACCTTTCTGGAATATTAATCTAGAATGATCTTCATTTTAAAAAATTGCAAAAAATCTTAACACAACAATTCTGCAATAAAGAAATTTGAAATAAAAATGTTTGAAGTTTTACAGGAAAACAGTTATTTTTTTCCCTTTTTTACAAGCTCTAACTCTTCTAAAATTAATTAATCCTAAACAATTACATAGAAATAAGGACAGCAGCACTCAAGAAAATATATTTAAAAACCCAATGAAACAAACAAATAAAATATATAAGATCACCACAAAAATACAGTAAAGCTGATGAAATCCATAGCCTCATCTGATTGCAACAACCATGTGGTTGGTGAACTACTGAGCATAAATAATATGAAGTTAAGAACCAAATATACATTAAAGTATTACTTTATTAAGGCAGCGAGGAGTCCTGTGGCACCTTATAGACTAACTGAAGTTTTGGAGCATAAGCTTTTGTGGGCAAAGACCCACTTCGTCAGATGCATGTACTTTGTTAAAAATGACTCAGACTGTTCTCCAATAACCTCTTGAAGAATTGCTGCAAACTATTTCTATCTTATCCACTATAGCCATGTGACATGATTCTATTCTCAGTTAAATTTGTTACCCTGACAGAAAAAATGTAAAATGGCATATGAGTTTGTAATACTGGAATAATGGCAGCCTTCAAGTACAATGATACGTTACTGTAATATGTGCTATAAATTGGGAGAAGCAGGAAATTAGCCCTCCTAATTCTGCTACATATTACAATCACAATGATGAACAGTATTTACTCTGAGAGCTAAAACTGATGCACAGACACTTAATCGGTAGATGGCCATTCACAGAGCCCTTTTTCTTTATAACGTTCAGCCTTAATCACTTTGACCTTGCATAACAATGTATTACTTTGCTCTAGAGTATATGTGCAATGTATAACCTAAGACAAGATTATTGTGCACCTCTACAGGAGAGTTCTGCAAGGCTGTCCTAGAGTCAGAAAAGACAGAGAGCCTCTCTTCTCCAGATTGCTATATATGCTCTGGCTGAGGACGTTAGGTTGGAAGTTCTAAGTACTTTCTGCAATTTATATTTTTGAGGGAAATTATCAGGGCAGAGAGTGGTCATTTCCTTAGTCCAGACTTCCAGAAGCAGCCTTGCAGCACTGGCGGAGAGGAATGCTGGCTACATTAGCAATTGCAAGAACCATCAGGCTTCCTCTGTTACAAAAGAGTTTGTGATATAATGCACATGCCTTATACTACCTTCTGTGGTGCTCAGGCAATCCAGAGCAGTAATTGTAGAGTTTAATTTGTCTTGGTTAAACAGCAGAAAAAGAAAATGGCACCTTTTTAAATCTGCTTCTGCTACATGGGAAGAGTTAAAAATATTAGCAGATATTTTTTTCCCCACCAGATGAATAGAACATTTTAATGACACTCCATTAAAATGACATTTTAATGTCTGAAAGGATAATAGAAGCCCAAACTGTTTGGTTTTCTGATTTCTCATCTGAATTAGTTTCTTTGACCACTGGGTTATTATAGTGATTTGTTATTCTTGAATTCTCATTGTATTCAGGTGCTAGCAATGCTGAGAAAATTTCTCCTGTATATATCTAATAAGCAGGCTCAAATTGCCCTGCAATGTGACACTTGTTATTTTTCCCTTTTGCCAGAAGAAAGTGCGAAATTTTACACATCTAAGGGAGGCTAAAAGGAACTTTGCTACAACACTAACTAAAACATCACTAAGTTTTAACACTCGTTACATCAACCATTATTGCTACAACAGGGCAAAAACATGGAATTCTTATTTATTGTTGATTCCATGCAGTAGTGCCTACATAACTCAACTATTTTACTAGGAGTGTGGTGAAGCTCTGGAATGAGTTACTTAGGGAGGGGATGGAATCTCCATCCCTGGAAGATTTTAAGTCCGAGTTTGACAAAGCCCTGGCTGGCATAATTTAGTTGGGATTGATCCCACTTTCAGGTAAAATCAATCAGAAAAAATAGTTACATACCTAGTGAAATATGTTCTACTTTTGCTATATATTATAAAAAGCTCTATACCTGAAATATTCCAAGCTCTGAAATTACATAAAAATATCTGTAAGTAACAAGCTAACCAAAAAAAAAAAAAAATGATGTGGATAAAGAAACTTTTAAAGGAAATTACAGAGGGTATGTCTACACTACCCTCCTAGTTCGAACTAGGAGGGTAGTGTAGACATA